ATTTCTTGGTTAAAGTATCCTGCATTTCAACGTATTCATCCATTTCTTGGAATTCAACGTATTCATCCATAGTCATACGATCTGCCCGAAAGTTGAAAGCACCAACAGCAGCACCATCTATAATAGGCCCAACAGCCTTTCCACCATCATCAATAATAACAAATGCAGGTAAATACTGATCATTTGCCTTAGGATATTCTCTCAGCTTTTTGACAGCTTCAATGGCACTCTTAAACTTGTGTGGTGCTTCTCCAAGCACTTGGGCATCCCAACCTCGTTTCACAACTCTCCAATCATTCTGGATAGACACAAGAAACAAAAACATTGATTTGTTAAGATGGCAGTTTGACTAATTACGGAAATTTTGATACGTAGTAAAACATTTAGCAGAATGATTATACTTCTCGAATGTTTGAGATGGACGAGAAAACCTTAAAGCTCTGATAAATATCAAGAGAAGCAGCAGTAACATCAACTACTGAAAGAGACATTAAACTTTATAACAAAATCCTGAGAAAGCAAAATACAAACAAAAAGCTTGTCTTACTTCGAGTTTGAAAAGTCAAAACAGATATTTTGTCATCAAGAGAATAAACTCAAAGCAGAAACACCTAAGCCCATGTTCGTTAAAGCTTATAATTGATCATACGTAATGGGTCTCGAAGAATGTGTGGTTAAAAAGTATGTAAAAGTCGTGGATCCCACGAAATAAGTGGATACAAATAAAGTTTGACAAACTTATAATCAATTATAAGCTTTGACAAACCTGGGTTGAGAAAGAGATACAGCTATGTACAAAATTGAGGTCTACTCACCCAAATGAGAACAAAATCCAAGTGCGTTAATCATTTCTCAGCCAAAAGAATTACAACATACAACCTTACCCAAAAAGAATCATGCCATGGAGAAACCCACTTATACTAGTAGTAAACATAGAATACTAATGCCATCTAATATACTATGTCATACATAAGTTTAGTTTGAAAGGGTAACTACTGTTGAAATGACAAACATAATCGGTCTACTTCATAACGATCCATTGTCACATGCATGCGACCTCCACCAGATGCAATCTGGGCATCAATACCTTTCTCGCGCAACTTTGCAAGATCATTCTCAAGAGTCCACAAAGCCTACACTTGAGCCATCCAACACATCACGTCCGTCAGTGAGAACATGAGCATGAATTCTTTTGGTACCACACTCACTAGCACCTCTTAGCAACAGCTGCACCCCAGTATGACACTTAGATATAGTTTTTCTGAAAAGTGAAATGGCTAATATAATAATAATTATTATGAGAAAGGCTGAAGGAAGAATAAACTAATAGCTATTGGATCGACAAAATCATGACGACTTTCAGAAGATAGAC